TCTTCCTCCATCCATTTTCAAAACCGGTTACCCTGAACAGGGTCACGAGGTCAGGTGGTGAGGGGAGGGTGATGGAGCCTATCCAAGCTGATTTGGGACGAAAAGCAGGCTACGTCCCAAACTGGTCGCCAGTCAGTCACAGGGCAAATATAGAGACAAACACCCATTCACACCTACATCCACACTGTCATTGAGTGGGAGCCCATCTCGCGCTGCCCGCACACAAGTCAGGCAAGTGTACCACTACACAGCACATATCAGCGACCATGATATTCCTTGAAGCAAGTGTATGTATATCAAGAATAGTGCTGTTACGAGATTTAAAAAATTGTGAGATTAATTAATTGTGATCTGTAATTAATTGATCTAATAATCTATATTTTAATCTTATCTAAAATGTGCTGAGAAAACCCCTATTTTCTTTGCTTTGCTTTAGCTCCGTCTATTGCGAACGCTTTCGGTGCTAACGTGAGCTGTGGATGCACTCGCGACTGCGTGCTTTGCATTAATGTGGGAGGCTAAACTTGAGTTGCTTCAGTGGTCAGCAAACTCCTTACAAATTAGGCACAAAACTCTACCTTTATCAATAGTGCCGTCAGGGCGTTTTTGAAAAGTAAATTGTCCATTCATTGTGCCGACAACTCTCAGATGCTCCTGCATTTTCACCTCTCCACTCCTCACCGCTATTTACTAAGCCCACCCAACTCCAATGGGAGCCAATCAGCTTCTGCTAAACAAGCCCCAACATAATGGGAGCCAATCAATGTCCGCTCAGGCTGTGACTGACAGTTGTTTCCCCACCCTCAACAACTCGAACACAGGAAGCCAACACATAACAAAGGATATTAGAAAAAGGCAACCCACCTACAGAAACAATAAAGGCAGAGATTAAAATTTAGATTAACGCAGTTAAAAAACATAACGCGCTAAACATGACCATAATTAATTAATCGCGATTAACGCGATAACTTGACACCCCTAATCAAGAAATGTCAACCTGTATAAATATCAAGTAATTCTAAGAGGAAAGCTGAAATATTATTCAAGACTAGTGTTCTAATTTTACGAGAGAAATATAATTATCTGGAAAAAGCCGTAATGTCAAAATATGAAAGGATGAGTTTGTAATACAAAACTTTAAAAAAAGTTTGTTAAAAAAAAAATCATATTTTTCATCCTTGTGCAAAATTCCTACTTTTCGATCTTATTTTCTGAGATGACTTCAGAAAATGTGTGTCAATGTGAATAAAATTAGGTTTCAACTTTCAGCTCCTTGTAATGTTCTAAATAGATGTCACCTGCAGGAGTATGACAAGCAGCCTCTGGTAGTATCCCGACGTGTCGCCGCAGATGTCCTTCTCCAGATTGCTGCCAAACTCTGCAACATGTATCTCATTCTTATTAGTGATGCACAGTGAGAAAATTTTCAACCTAACACAGCTGTCTTTGGGCAGTGGGCGGGTGACACCCTGAACTGGTTGCCAGCCAATCACAGGGCACACATACACGAACAACCATTCGCACTGAGAATCACACCTAAGGACACATTTAGAGTGTTCCATTAACCTGCCATGCAAGTTTCTGGAATGTGGGAGGAAACCGGAGTACTAACCAGTTGACCACTGTGTCCCCACGTTGTATTTACCTTGCAATGTTACATTTTTATTATCCCTGTAACATTCTTGTAATATTACAAAACAATTTCCCTTGAATTTTTCATAATTTTTCTCAGATTTTTCTTTCCATTTCTGCCCATTCATAAAACTCTTAAAGCCAGGAATTACATTGAGAGATACTGTAGTTTAGTTCAAATATTACAATTACGCTTACTATCGTTTGATGAAAACTTATTCTTGTTACATTGCAATGTTTTTATTTTTCTTATTTGCAATTGCTGTTTTTTTCGAATAGTATTCTAACTTTACATTTTTTTAACTTTACATCTTTCTTTTTTCTATCGTAACTGTTCCGAAATGTTCACTTTTTTTGGGCTAGCAATGTAATAAAGTTATTCTCCTAGTGACAGTGAGTTATTTTCTCAAGTTTGATTTCCACAAATCCAGTTAGTTATTCCAGTATCACAATTTTATTTTTCATTTCTTTATGTACTTTTTTTCTCATATTTTTTCCTTTAGGATGTAGCCTTAATTCTCCTTGAAGAAAAAAAATTACATTGGATTTAACATAAAAAATGATTACCGTTAATATGAATGATTACTTTTTTTTTTTTTTTTTTTACAAAATGCAGGGAACTCCCTATATTTGTGGTCCAGGATTTGGAAATTTGTTTCTTCAGATTTCTTTGAGATTTTTTTTTTAACCTATCCTCCATTATTAGCTGAAAAACTCACCTATTTGCCATTCTTTGGCACCACCTGGCTGTATTTTGGGGCCAAAGAAAAAATTTGAAGTAAGATGAGGAGGTTTGTAAAGACAAAAGTGGTCCTTTGCTGTCATCTTGAGCCAGCTATAGCCAATTACAAAATAATTACTTTTGGATTTTCACTGTTTGTGGTGGGGAGGGAGGGGGGTGTTATATTTGTAGAACATGCCTCAGGCGTGTAAGAATAGCCAGGAAGAATATTGCCCAATATGGCTCGAAACTAACATGAGCAATAGATCCATTTAACTGCACTGGCGTGACCATATCCTTGACGCTTACATGGTTCCATACACTCAGTCATGACCATAACTGCGGTTTGACTCGTCTTTTTACGTGCAAAGAGGTGCAAGTTTATGTCACAGTGGCTCAATAATTTACCGCTAACGGCGGCAAAAGCGCATGCTTATCGATCCGCTCACCCTCCTTGTAGACCTTGACGATGTCTCGAAGGCGCGGGCCGCTCCTGGAGGCCAAGATCTCAATCAGCACGTCGTCATCAGTCCCGACACCCTACGGTGCAACAAGAAAGACTCACCAAGAAGCTACCAGTGTGCTTTTTATGGCTACAGCGTTATTGGAACAAAAAAATGATTGTGATAAATTTCCCCGTCTCAATTTTCCTGTCTGATGCAAGTGAAACTGAGTTGCCACGGCGACCCAGAACACCCCCATTCTCGCTTTTGTATATTTAATTAACTCTGGTTCACACTCGTCTCAATGCTGGCTGCACAGAGCCTTTGTCAAGAAGTGTCATGTTGCGGCTTGATGAGCCGTAGAGCTGCACAGCTGCGGAGAGACGCTCAAGAGTAGCCTGTAATACGCTACATAGTGTATTAGGGCTGAAAAAAAGAATAAAAATAAAATAATCACTTTTTTCCTCTAAAGTGAATATTATTTTCAAGGTCCTGCTCTCTTGCATTTTTTTAAACAAACACAAGCAACCAAGTAATCTGTAATTCAATAAACAATATCAGATGGATGATAATAGCTCCACCCTTTAATTCAAGTGCATTTATTCAGCGGGAGAAAAAAGGCCCACAATGAGAAATCATTCTTTCACATCAACTCATGTGTGTCACAATTTTTGACACCCCTGACGTGAATACTTTGTACAACTCACGCTTGCCAACAAAACGGCAGCAAATTTTCTCTTTTAGTGTTTCACTAGATGGGAGACTAGAAGGAGGGATCTTTGACCATTCCTTTTTGCGCAATCTTTCTAAATCGTCCATCAACCTCGGTCTCCTCGTCTTTAGCTCACTCCGCAGGTTTTCAATGGGATCAGGTCTTGGGACTGAGATGGCCATGGAAAGAGCTTGATTCTGTGTCTGGTAAAACATATTTACCGGTACTATTTTTTGTGTGAGAGAATGTTCCTGCAGTAAAAATCTAATTTGTTTTCAGGCATCTTAAGCAGGGGTACCAATAATCATGGAGGACATTGTATGGAAACGTGGACTGCTCCTCGTAAGCACTGACGTTATCTAGACACAATATATACAGATACATTTTATATCTTTCGGGAGGTGACACAGTGGTCGACTGGTTAGCATGTCCGCCTCACAGTGCAGAGGCTCCAACAGGCCCGCGACCCCCTTGAGGATAAACGGGTCGGATAATGGATGGGTGCTGTATAAGTGATCATGGGAACATTTAAACACTTGTTGCAAATCCATGTTCATCTGTTTCCAAATTAATGTGCAAAAGTCCAGCACACTCGCGACCCTGATGAGGATAATGCAGTGGCTTTTAACCTTGTTAGAGGTACCGAACCTAACCAGTTCATATGCACGTTCACCGAACCCTTCATCCACCCATTTTCCGATCCGCTTTATCCTCACAAGGGTTACGGGGGTGCTGGAGCCTAACCCGGCTGTCTTCGGGCAGCAGGCGGGGGACACCCTGAACCGGTTGCCAGCCAATCGCAGGGCAGACAGAGGCAAACATCCATCCGCGCTCACACTCACACCTGGGGACAATTTAGAGCACAAGTGTCAAAGTCAAGGCCCGGGGACCAGAACTGGTCCGCCACATCATTTTATGTGGTCGGCGAAAGCAAATCAAGCATGCCAAGTTCCATGATGCTTGCTGAAGTCTGAACCAAAATTTCAAATTGTCATATGTGATCCACAATAACAGTAATTATTCTTGACTTCTGATTTTAAAACTAGTTATCGATCAATTTGTTGTGCGCTGTGTATGTAATATGTGGAGGGGATTCAACATTTATATGGTTTCCCAAAATTCATAACGTCCCTCCAAAGGAAACCTTGACTACAATGTGGCCCTCGGCAAAAATGAGTTTGACACCCCTGATTTAGAGTGTTCAATCAGCCTGCCATGCATGTTTTTGGAATGTGGGAGGAAACTGGAGTACCCGGAGAAAACCCACGCAGGC